AAAGTGATGATCTTTTAATTTAACCCAGACAAGAGCAAGAAGTGTTTCCAATCAGTTTCCATGCAATAAAGGGTATTTATATTGGATTGAAAAAAAAGTTTGTGAATGTGGTTAATAATATAAAATTATAAAAAAAAAAAAAAAAAAAAAATCAGACAAAATGGCTTGAAATAGACTAAAAATTTTATGAAATTGAGTGTCTATGTGCCATAACTTAGTTTTGGAAACCATAATAGAAAAAATACAATTCTTGTACACAATAACTGTAACAAAGTGTGAATTGATGAATGAATTGCTTGACTGAAGGTCTAAGCTCTTTCAAGTTCACAATGGAAAAAACAAACTTATCATTTTAAGTAAGCATTTATACTTTGATGTTGTTAATGATGTACACTATGTTAAACTGACACTGGAATACATTCTCTTCTAAACCTTGTTGCGTGATATGAAAATATGTTCAAAAATAATGGTTGTTCTGGTCATTTGTTGTTTGAATTGGATAATCTACTCCCATGCTGACTTTGATTTTTGTTAGCTGCTAAATTTGAGAGAATCATGCACTTCACATTGAATTAAGAAATTTGTTTATCATGATTTCTGGGTTCTAGTAAATGGTTATTACACGCGTAGATTTTAAGAGTTCTCAAATTTGCATTATAAATTAGCAAAAAACAAAATGTTTTTGGATCCCCTCCTTTTGAAACAGAATATGACCTATAAATCCTGTATAAGCAACGTAGACCTCTAGCTAGTGTATTGGCATGCATCAACTGAGAACACACCACCATTCAATCTAGACTTTATACTTTGTTTGCTGCCAAGTTCGTTTTACATCCAACATTATCTACAATTCCTATAATGTAAATGATTTTGACTTTATTCGGGTAAAATCAACAGCCTTGTTGAAGTGGTTCTTTACTTTAATCTGTCATCAGCTTACAACCATGGTTCTTTTTCTATATACGGTATAAAAATTATCATGGCTTAAATGATTGTTTTCATTATCACAAATTCATATACCAGTTTAAACTTTCTCATACACTGTGCTCCTTGTAGATAACTATTTGTTTTTCACGTTCATCTCCTATATACTTTTGTAACTGCTGGGGGCTAACAGTAACAGTTAGCTAAAGCTGAAACGTTCAATGGAGATGATTTCCAGTGGTAGTGTACATTTCACACCCAAAACTTTAATTTTGCATGCATTAAATAAACAAAGGGGCTACTCTGCTTTGTATAAACAAAGAAACTAGCTTGGAGTACAAACAAATTTTGTTGTATTGAAATCATGCTCACCATCTTCAATTCTAAAACCTCAAAGCCCAAAATAAAGGCAAAATTAAACAACAAAATTGTTTGTTAATAACAAATTTTGTCAAACAATACAAAATTAAAGGGTATGACTCAATGTCAAGCTAAAATAAAACATTGTATTTTACTTGAAATCCAGAAAAATATTCTGCCATTATATAGCTTTCTGTTATTTTTGTCCGTTGAATTTTTTTAATCTCCCACAGCAAAGAGTTCACATCAACCAAAGAAAGATAATTCAATATCTAAATGAATGTCAGCTTTTTTACTCATAAACTTCACGTTTATAGATAAAATACCAACAGTGTATGGGCATATATGATTAAATCAGATATCAAATGTTTTATTTCTGCTATAAACATGACTTGAAGTGGCCGTATTTCATGAAATAACATTCACAAAGTTTTACTTTTCCAGAAATAGTCAACTTTACCTCCCGTTTTCATGGTAACAATCCAACATTTACACTAGCTAGCAATATCTTTTGGAAGTTTATGAAGTAGTTTCCTCAGCCAAAGAACAAGGTTCACTTAGGGCGTTTTTTGGCCCTGTGAATTTCAGAAAAACTGAAACTGCTTGGTTTTAGTTGACAATGCATTAAATATCATTTAGATCTTTGGTGACTGCGTATCTATCAAAAATGACGTAATTTTCTGGCTAGTCAATGCATTATGACGTCATGAAATGCGTCATTTTCCTCATATCCTGAAAAATTCTACAAAACCAGCCACTTTTTAAAGCTATTTTTCGATACTTAATATAGAGCGCAATCTCTGATCTAAATTATGCAACTATTAAATGATAGAACTATTTCTGAGGATTACAAAACCTGTTTTATTTTTTAGATCAGAGGGTGCGCTCATATTATTTCTTTTCTGTGAAAGTACTCAAATATACTTGTTTTCCTTAAAATTCAAGAACATTGCAATTCCATGAAGCTTATTTTCTAAGACTTTGGCTTTAAGGAGAAAATTTTTAATAGGAAATGAAAGCACTAAGTCTCTACTTTATCTTGATGTTTAAAATGGAACATAAAGTGTTAGTCAATAAATCAGTATATCTACAGGGCCATTATATGCATGAAGTGAACCTAGCTCTTTGAAAAGAAAATATGTGAATATGGTTGCGAAAAAAATTAAAAAGTTACAGGGTATGGCTATTAATTTTCAACTCATTTTAGCATTTTCAAAGAAGTTTATCAGTGATAGTTTGAACATGATTTAAAAAAGAAATGTGAAGAAAACGAACAGTGATCATTTTCAAATGTCCATTTTAACAATACAAATTATAAAACAAATACTGTAAACAGAAGTGAGAGTACATGCCATGGAGGAGTAAGCTTCCTGTATCCACAGGTCACACCCGCCGCTGCTCCTTCTCGTGATCGGGAAAACGAGAAAATCCATAGACAAATCAATGTGAAAATAATGGCCCAACAACGTGTATGAAAGACGTCAGTCAACATTCGACTCAACGAAAGATTGCATTTGCAAACAATGTCATTGTATCGACCATGGAATTTGCGAAATATTGACTTTATAAACATTTCCATCACCCTAAAACATAAAATAATTATAAGATATTCATCTGTTTGAACAACAATGGCTGAATATTTCTGTTATCTTAAATTAAAGTCAAAACCAATGTATTTGAAGTATATTATGTAGTTTCAACTTTTATAATCTATACATGTATATAATAAATGTCCATCAATATAAGCTTTATCTAAAAATATAACAAGAAAGGATTAAACTAATGTAATCTTTTTGATCACACAATTTATTGAATAAAATAAATATGAGAAGATCCTTGAAATCTGCTGTTTGAGAATACAGCTTTTAAAGTGACTGTTGTCTTCAGCAAAAGATATTTTGTAATCAAGCAATTTAATAAAATGACCTATACATATCTAATCACAAATATTTTATTTTATGTGAATTTCCTTTTTTAAAAAATATTGCAATTGGTCATACATGAACTTCTGATAAATAAAATTATCTTCTTTTCATAATTATAATGTTAACGCCAGTTCATTTCTTTGACTGATATCCTGTAATCCTTCGTTTCGTAATCGAAAAGCCTAAATGTATGTCGGATGAAACTATAATCAAAAACACTCCTCTGAATGTTAAATATTGTAACTCAGAGAAAAGTTCTTATGCTCTACCCTGTTCCTCTTTATAAGTGTTTTAATTGATACGTTTAAAAAAAAGTAGAGAAAAGTGGCACATTATCTGGAAAAGGATCTCATTAGAATGAAACACTTGCCAAACAATTGATATGAAACATATCAATCAAACTACTACCAACCAAAGAATGTACCAAATATTGATTTTAAACGAGAATGTAAAAAGCCCTGTAAACCCAATTTATCTGCAACTAGCATGTCTCGGTTTAAAAAATATCGCACTCAGAACATGCCTTATAAACCGTTTTCGTTAAATTAGGGGTAAACAGTTCAAAATAATTCTTTAGAATGGATGAGACTTTTTCCAAATATTTTTTTTTAAAAACCCAAAACAAAAACAAAAAAAAAAGGTTAACATTATAGATGCATATTTTTTTCAAAACACCTGTTGCCTTTTTGATAAATTGGACGTCTATTTCAAGTAGTAGGCACTCAGTATCCAAACACGAATACATAGATGTTGGAGATATTGATGTTTCAAAACTATTCATTTTATGCACCCAACATCAACAATTAATCTATGTAAAATGACATCAAAATGGCAACAGGTTTTTAAAAAGCAATTATACCGAATACATTTGTCTGAGAGAATATAAAAGAAGGGATAAGGCAATAATACTTTTAGTCGAGTTAAGCCGAAAAGTGTAAACATTTCAGGTAAAAACGACACGGAATCTATGTTCTGTAGCAGATATTTGTACTGTACATTTTCTAGTTAAAACCGCTTAAAGCTTAACTAATAATTCATTTGCAATTGAAGCAGAACTGAACTTTTCCTTTAAAAAAATATTGGAAAATCGAGTCTTCGTTATGAAAAATTTAAACATGGATCAAAATGAAATGCCTACCTTCATTATTGATAATGCATTTTTGCTCTTTCAGAATTCATCATGGATAAAAGGAATATTTTCTGTGTCTATTCTGTCTTTTCAGCATCACAATTGCAGGTGCACGTTTTATCCTTAATAATTTCACGCAAACATTTTTCTTCATCACAATACATTACTACAAAAGAAATCAGATTTTTTAGGCTACCATTTTGTCTAGAAGGTTGCACAGATTACAGTTCTTTTGTTCAAAGGAGACATGAATGCGTAATAGTGTAAATTGCTGAGCGAAAAGTGTTCGTCATAGGTTTCTGTGTTTTTCTATTGTCAGAAAAGTTTAAGAATTTTATATACATGTAGAATCTTATGAAGAATAAAAACATTATCTTATGAAGCACTTTTGATAAATCAAAATTTATAAGTTTTATTGTTAAAAAACATGCATCGACGAGAAGTTCCCGAACCAAAATGAGGACTCGATACTTATTCACAAGAACATTAAGAAAGGTTCTTTTCCAAGAGAAACAAATGCTATAATTTGTCAAATAATTTTGAGTCAATATCATTTAAAGGACAAAATAGGCTAAAACCCCTTTTTGGCCCCTGGTTCGGGGTGTCTTTTAGAATGGTGCAACAGTTTATCAATAAAAACCTGTTGTCACTCCTGCCACAAAATGGGTATTGTTTCTAAGTTATGGGTTACACAGAGGTCACAGGAAGGTCAGAAAATATGTCAATTTCCGAATTTTCTCATGTTTTCATCGATTTTACAGCACATTTTGTTTCAGAAAACATAGAGCACAAGCTTGCCTATCTACCTAATTTACATATTTCATACACTAGTATCAGATACATCTTATGTATAAAAATCTCAGATAGGCAAACCTGTGCTCTATGTTTACCGAAGTGAAAAGTATCTCAAATTTGACGAAATTCCACCAGAAATGAGGAAATTTGGGAAAATGCCCTACTTCTTCACACTCTTGTGGCCTCCGTGTAAGCTTTGAATCAAAATTAGTGCTGGTTTTCAAACAAGCTTCATTTTAAGCTCTTAAGTGCAAAGTATCAGAATTTTAACTGTGTTCGGATTTTTACATCAAATAAGGGGCCGGATTCGGCCGTTACCAAACCTTGTCCTTTGCCCAACTCCAAGGTTCAAAACAGGACAGGTATTTGGATACGGTGTTTTACATAGGTATTGATAGGGAAGAAATCTTTACAGTTATTAATTAGTAAAAATACAAAATAAAGCCATTAAGAGTTTTGTTAAAACAAATTAAAATGGTTTCCTGTTATTCATTCATTTTTATCAGTCAAGTGGCCTAGAGGGACATATACATTAATCAAACCCAAATCTGGTTGTCCATTAAACTGGTTGGAAGGCTGGCGCGACCAGGACGACGAGGACGATGATAACGAAAATTCGATGACAATTGGACATCACTTCTTTGGTAAGTAGCACCAAAAAATCATTACATGAAAAAACACGCATTCTTACATTAGGAACTCAAATTGGGCTTCCCTACAATCCGTAACAAAATTGCCTTCCTACGTATATTTTTTGTATTTTTCCCTAATAACGTTTAATTCTCCAGAGTTCTCAAAATATTGAAATCTTTCATTAGGGGAAAAAAACAGTTTGTGTCACGATATTAGTATTGCACTATCAGATTTCAATGTGATGAATTTAATTTTAAAAAAAAGTTACATAAGTTAAATATATTGGTCATTGAACTGATTTTTTTTTTGTTTCTAATTGTGATGCGTGGTTTGTTACAATGAACTTGATTGAAAAATCACCAGTGAATGGAGCTCTTTCTGTAACCGATATATAAAAAGAGATTCAAAAATGAATTAATATGTGTCAAATGTAAGAAGTATATCTTAATAGCTTCATTTACCCAAATATTACTTTCATTGTAATCAATGATTGAAGCATTGTAAACAAAAGTACTATCTACAAGAGATTTTACCTTTATCTCTTCCTAATTATAATTGTTTACGACAAATGAGTGATCAAGACATATACTTACGCTCATAAAATTACCCTTGGTGGAGATCTGTTATAATTTTGGTAGTTCATGACAGCGTCAAATTGACAAAGTATTGTATTGTAGAAAGTGACAACACCAGCGATTCGTGTATAAATCATGAACAAATATAATTTGAAATATAAACATGCAAATGATTGTTTGTTTGTTTGTTTATTGTTCAACGTCCCTCTCGAGAATTTTTCACTCATATGGAGACACCACCGCTTGCCGGTGGAAAGCTACAAATTTTGACCTATACTCGGCACTCAGGGCTATTGAGCAGAGAGGGATCTTTTTCGTGCCAGCACCTACTGCGACACGGGACCTCGGTTTATACGGTCTCATCCGAAGGACCGGTCTCCACGTCCCACAGTGGGATTCGAACCTGCAACGTAAGGATCAACTCCTTACTCCGCAACTCTAAAGCGAACGCTCTAACCACTGTGCCACGCGGGCGACTGCAAATGATTTTGTAATAATTCAACGTTTCATGCCTTTCTTTTGTAAAAGAATATCAAATATTGAATTTTCTTTAAATAAAGATTGTTAAAGTAACTTATTTGTAGCATTTTGTAATATCAAATATATCGTATTACTTTGACCCTTTTTGTGAACCATTTTTATATCATATTTGTGAATTTTTAATAGCATAACAGTGCTGTTTAATAGTCTTCTAAAGAAAATATTTTGAAATACTTCCTTTCAATAAGATTTTCCTAAAATTTCATAGGCTCTTTACCTTCCTTGGCTGCCGGGATTTTGATAATCGTGAATCTACGCTATCGGGTGCTGCTTACATTTGCCAAACGGTAGTCTTGCAGATCTTGAAAAGAAAACGTTTGATCAAACATTGTTATGTCCCCCTTCGAAGCATATTGCTTTGCTGCTGTTTGTCGGTCTGTCTGTTTGTCTGTCGGTCCGTCCACCAACAGTTTCCGTTCATTTTCTTCGCAGAGGTTGCACATACTGAAATGAAATTTGGTATACAGATTTATCATAAGAATATCTACGTCAAGTATTGTTTTGGGTACGATCGAGCAATTTTTGACAGAGTTATGCCCCTTGGACTTAAAAAATTACAATTATTTCGGAGGGGGCATAAGTGTTTCACAAACATCTGTGGTTATCTTCACCTTGTTCATTGAATACTTTTCCTGTATATGTCCATGTAAAAGATTCTTTTACGTCTACTCTGACCTTGGTGGTGGTTATTTGAACAAACTTCATGAAATAAAGCTTACTCGTTAGATATATCATGCACATCTTTAATTCCTGAGACATATTTTAAATAATTCCATCCTATTTTCTCTTTCTTAATTTCTATTTAGAAACAGCATGATCTAAATTTCCTTACAATCAAGTCCATTTGTGGAAAGTAAAGTCGAAATTGGATTTGTATGTTTTCTAAGAAGTTGGTCATAAGAACATTTTATGAATAACGATGGACGTGTAACAATAGGCCATGTAAATGACTTTTGGGATACACAAATGAAAAATAAGACAAGCATTGAACTAAAATTAATATATTTTTACAGGTTCCTTTGGCAGGAACATGAAGTTCTACTACTGTACCAATGATCCCAATGACATAAATGACGAAGGGTTCTGGCCTGCCGGGAATTATTGCATTTTAAAGCAAGGACACTCATGTCCTCCGAAAGGTTGAAAATTTTCTTTTATATGATTTACTAATTTCATCACAGATGAATTGAATGTGACAATGACAGTAAACCGGTATATTTAAATGGTTTAAAGGTTAAAATCATACGGAATCAATTTATCCATATAAATTCAAGTTATTCAGCTTATGCTCTCATGTTTCTTTTTTAATGGTCACCACGATATTTCAAAGGTGATTTTTTGGGGTGATCTACACAGGTTTTCTCAGTGGAAGCTTATATTGGGATGACGATGATTCCAGAAATAAAAACTCATATGGAGGTGTTCTACCCAGTGGATATTATGACAGAAATACAAGGATTGATTACTGCTGCAGGTATACTATAAATAGATAAAAGCTGAAAGTAAGATAGCTTAATTAGAAATAGATGTAACGATATATAAACTCCTTTTCCACAATTTACAATAAAACATTAACCTTGTCACCATTTGAAAAGAAGTTGTTAGACAAAATTCACGATGAAATCGATGGCTTTTCCTTTTGATTTTCAATATGATCAGATAACACGTGTATTACTGTATTGGCTTAACATGAGCAAAGTTTGAAACCTCTTGTAGGAATAAAAGAAATTAAGCATGGAGGTGCCCTTTGAGTTAATACAAAAACCAGCATGTCTTTTGATGATATTTGACTTCTGGGTACCTAACAGAACATTTATCTTAAAGATTATAGATTACAGACATTATTAAAGGAACATTCCAGGAACCAGTTTACAACAACTCAATACTGAAAACATAAAAAGTCTAAAATATAAGAAAACCGAATTCTTAAAAATTTTCCTAATTGGATAACAATGCGCACAGTTATAACTATATCCAGATAACTGTCAAAAGAGTGAAATATGAAGATAACGAACACTGATTATGCTTAAAAGTACAGAAAAACAACAAAATGGAGAGCAAAGCGAACTGAAAACTTCAGAAGTGGGGTATATGCATATGCATATGCATTCTGCATGCATGGAGGAATGAGTATTCCCTCTAGACCGATCACACCCACCTTGAACATTCTGACCTTATCGGGTAAACAGAATTATCCGTAGTTAATCTAATATGAAAATAAATAATGACCTAACATTTTGTATTTTAAAAAAAAGTCCTATCGACAGGTATGATTTGCAAACAAGGTTATTTGTATGAAATTTTGAATTTGCATAGACTTTGCTTGTTGTTGTCTTAAATGAGATTGTTGATACTGTAACATCATCTAATATCAGATGTACGCAGTATATGCTCTTTTGTATCGATTAACTGAATACATAAATATAATATGCAGGAGATATTAGAAAATGCCAAATAAATAAGGGAAGTCGACGATAAAAGAGTTGAGTTATCACTTTTATCATAAGTTTATTTGTTAGTTTGCCATTAATGCCTTCTCTAGTAAAACATCCAAATATGAAACAGATGTTTAATCTCCGTGGTGCCATTTTTTTCGAGTTCAATGTGATTTATAACAAATTAACGTGTGAATGAAAATAAATATTGTTAATTGATAAAAGGTCGTCGATATACCTGTTTAAGACTACAGAAACATGTAGAATTTTTAATGAATTCTGCTTCATCAAAATACAAAAACAGGGGGCTCAGTTAGTACCCATAAGATTTCCAACAGATTGTTGGAAGATTTGGTCTCCAAAGACTTCCTTAGCATTATCAATGAGAAACTTGAGCATCCTTTTAATATCAATTTCAAAGTACTTATGAGGAGAATCTGAGGTTTCACATATAAATCACCATGCATGTTTCTGCTTAAAAGTTCAAATGAGCTATACCGATATATAAAAATGCGTCCGTGTCTTTTTCTGTTGTGGATTATTTTTAAGGGGGTTTGGTGGCCAGGGCCATTTTCAGACTATTTAAACATCCTGGAAAAGTAGAGCTCTTATTTTAAACATATAAGATATTACATGAAATATTATAGTTTAAGCATGTTATTTTTAATAATGGCTTATAGCTAGAAAATTATACTTAATATTTAAAAGTGGATATGTTTAGTAATTTGGGTTTGTGGTCATTTTTATACTATTAAACATATTGGGAATTACATATAGGGAATTAAATATATAAATATAGCTGGAGCATGTTTATTGTTTTCAATATAATACTTTATGGCTAGAAAAAAAATCATGTGTCACATTTTAAGTGGATCTTTTGGTAATTCGTTGACCACCCAACCTCCTTATTTTTTTTTATCACAACAGTTTGGATAGTTTGTGTCCACAAATGATATTTCGAGAAAAAAGAGATCTGTCGTCTTATACATCATGGATACAACTGAGTTCGTAATTTCACAGACCATTATCTGTATAAAGAAGAAAATTTGGTGACTCTGTTTCGGTATAATACGCCAAAAGGACTTATAATAATGCTACCTGGGAAATGTCTGACATATAAATGATTACGTTGTCAGAGAGCTTAAGCGATGGTAGGGGGAAAATTTACCCATGGTTATTAAAATCGAATTTTTTTTAACCTTACTCTTCCAGTTTTATAACGAGTTCAATAACACTTGGCACTCAAGAAGGCTATACAAAGATGTATTTTTGTCGGATTTTGATTTCAACAAATTTGTCTGTGTTCCTTGGTTACAAAATTAGATATTTCTGTGAATTTTTTTTAACTGTTACTCTTCCTACCCTTTTAGTATGATTTTAAATTTAAATAATTTTTTATCACAGAAAAGACGGTTCATATACCAGGGAAATAGAACTTCCAACAGTACAACCATTCTATTTGATGAGATTTGCCTCCCCTTGTCAAATGATCAAAGGAATGTACGTCAGAGAAGAGCACGTGCATTTTGATGACGAGGATCACAACGACAAAAACTCGGTATCCGGAAGTCACCCATTTGGAGCTGGAAGAAGAAACCATAATCTGTATTACTGTTATTATTCTCCTCTGTAAAGAAAATTAATAATTCATGTACTAAATTTGTTATATTTTTAAAAGCATTCATAAAATGCAATACCGAGATTTGTTGAACTTTGTATGATTAGGAATGACAGAATAAATTGTTACCAATTGCACATCTTCTAGTATTGAACTATTCTTACATCACCTGTAGTGATGTGTCCAGGTGGACTGTATAGTTGAAAGAAGAGGAATAACAACTTGTGTCAAGAACACTTAGGAAGATTTTGTTTTAGATTGCCAATATCTATGAGCTGTGGAGTTTGTTTATAATTGAAAATGTTGGATGAAATGTTTGAGGATTATCTGTAAGAAATGCAAGGTATAGACTTCAACTTGAAATATGGTCAAATACAAGACTGAGCTTTTTTTATTATGAAGAATGTTGTTAAAGTTAAAAGCGTCTATCCCTTTGTTAACAAAATTAACTTCGTGATTGACAGATTGATTCGAAAGTATTATCTTCCGTAACACATGAAGCCTGTATTGGGCAACATCCATAATCACATACGAGTACACTTGTATGTATTCCGGTTTTGACGAATCCAAGTAATGACTTGCTTTAGCTTCTTTGAATAATCCAGTTAAAGTTAAAAGGGTAGAAGAGTGAAGGTTAGTGCGAATGTTATGTCGACCTAATTGTTTATTGTCGAAATGATAGAGAATCAAATGAAACATCGTATATTTTTGGCTTATTGTATGAACAATGTCCAAGACTGCGGTAACTGAAGTTATTTTTACCCATATTCTCATACAGATAAATTAGGTCGGATACATTAAAAGAGTGGGGGGAGGAGGTTTGGCATAATAATGGTGGAGGTTCCAGTATTCTTGTTATTGTTGTCTTATAGTGAATTTTAGTATTTACTCTAATCAGTGTTTGAGTATCTCTTTGAACTCCCATATGATTCCGGAATTAGTATGACGTAACAGAATCCCCAAAATTAAGCGAGTCTTACCTTGGCTAAAGGCGAAGTTTGGTAGGGATTCTGTGAGTCATTTAACTACTGAAAGGATCGGATGCCAAACCCCTGGGTCGGAGAATTGTTATCCCTCACTGGTGCTTTTTTTATTGTTGGTGACTTCATTCTTGCATTGCTTTGATTGGATGCTGAAACACTGATTAGTTTTTCAAGTATACGACTCTGGACATAAGCAACACAGATCTCATCTGATCCCATCAGTGGCTATATGACTCACTGAAACCCTACCAAACTTCGCCCTTAACCAAGGCAAGACTAGTTTAGTTTGGGGATATTTCTTAAAGTCCGTATAAACGGAAGCTTTAAGGTATTATTCAGAATTGTTCTTAAAGTAAACGTCAATTACATGCTTTAGGCCATCTTTAAAAAAAAATGTTTGTTAGCCCTCTTCCAACTGACTGGCTAAAAAACTTTTTTTAACCTCCAGGAAACGATAATTTTTTTCTTTTAATTCCTCAATTATCTCATCCCGTCAATATGTATGTTGAAATTTTCAAGGAAAAAAAATTCCCACCTACCTACCAACCCATTTTTTTTACCTTGAGTCGGAAGATAGCAAACAATTATTATTTTGATGACCTTATCTACTAGTATATATATATATATATATATATATATATATATATATATATATATATATATATATATATATATATATATATATATATATATATATATATATATATCCAATGAAAAAATCAAGAATCACAAGGCTCGAATAATCATTTTAACTGTAAGCGCTTTCTGCCTTTTAATGACTCTCCAGACAGTTACAAAATGAATATGAAATTGCTTAGTAACGTTGTTAAAAACCATATATATATATATATATATATAGAGAGAGAGAGAGAGAGAGAGAGAGGAACGTTACTAAGAAATTTCATATTCATTTTGTAACTGTCTGAAGAGTCATTAAAAGGCAGAAAGCGCTTACAGTTAAAATGATTATTTGAGTCTTGTGATTCTTGATTTTTTTCATTGGATATATCAATACTTTACTGTACCAAAAATTGGATTTTTCATAAAGTATATATATATATATATATATATATATATATATATATATATATATATATATATATATATATATATATATATATATATATATATATATATATATATGTGGTTTTTAAATTGAAAACACGCATTTTTCAAGGCTAAAATGAACCACAGCCTTTCAGTTGAAGTTTGCTCAGAATTGTTTTTGTCTATGTGTACTCCTACAAAATTACTTTATCTGAGTGATAAATGGTTAAATCAATGAGTAAGTGAAACTTTGCATGTACTCAAATCTGACTTTGTTTGAAAATCAGGGACTTTAGAGTTGGCTTAAAATTTCTTGTCCTCGCGAACAGCCAAAGGAAGGTAACCTATGAAACTTCCTGTCCAAATATGACACAAACTTTTTTTTCCAAAATGTGCATAGACATAGTAGATGCAGTCATGTATAAAATATAGAAAAAGAACGACAGAATTTTGGAGGTGGGCAAGTTGTACATCCTTAAATAAGTAACAAGATCCTTTGAAAGTTTCGGTGTGCATTGTCTCGCTGAAGTTTGTGAGAAGTCCTCGGGTATTATACTTTGCTGAACACCGAAAAAGAAAAGGTTCTGAGTACATTCGTAGTGATTTGAAGACGTTTTCAAAAGTTATATCAATATAAATACAGTAGAGTCTCGTTTATCCGGACGCTTATTTTCCTCAAAAAATTGTTTGGATTAATGAAGCATGCGGAATACTAAAATATACTGAGTATGTATAAATATAAATTGTTCCCTACAAATTTCGGCCAGAAGGTGAAGCTTTCAGATTATTGGCGTCCTGTTTAACTAGGCTCCACTGTATCCTGGCCCACTAAAGATTACACCTGATTAAAGTGCGGTTAAAAAAAATAAAATGAATGATTTATCAATGAAACAGAAGGTTATAATCATCTGTGTGCCTAAAGAAAAATATTCAATTATTTGTTACTAAAACATTAACTATATAATGTATTGATGTAAGGCATCAATTCGGCAGCAAACTTTCAATGTGATGATCATGATACCATGGATTTTTTCAAAACAAAATTTAGCAACGCAGTACTGTACATTTTTTGTAATTATCCGGAAATTGGTAAAGATTTACATATATTCATGTATCTTACCCACAAACACTCTGGGGAGCACTTTTCGTAAACCTTTTGTAAAATCATTAATAAATATAATGAAAAATGAAAAAAAATTATGGAAATGTAACCTCAACAACAATTAAGAGAATAATATAAAACATTTTTTCCATCTTCAATATTACCTTACACGTGTTATGATGAATTCTTTAAAACAGTACAAATGAGTGAAAAGAGCATAAATCATGGACTTTTTTATACTAATATAATTATGAAATAAAATACTATATACATCCCTGATAAAAACAACAAATTGTTCTATCGAAACCGTGAAAAATAACGACTCCTTTTCCCCATATTGTGACACAACAACAAACAACTTAGCGGCTCCTGAGGCCGGTAACAAAGTACCTAATTGACGGGCACGATTAGCATCAGATGTGTGATGACGTAAAAAAGTGAGTAAAATATATATTATTCTTAAAAAAAAAGATGAGCTATGGGGTAAAAGAATGAAATTAATAAAATGTCATTTTAACCTGTCGCATTATTTGTGCGTACGTGACTATTTACTGTAGCTAATATCTATTTAATCTGTAGCAGGTTCTTTTAAAGCTATTCACTAGCCATATCTAACACTGTCTCTTTTTCCCATTCTTTGAATTCTAACTTAACAAGTTTTATTCTGATAATTCGATAGTGGAATAAGAAAATGGATAAGCACTTCAGTAGAACAATCTCCCTACTTCTCATATGCTGGATCAGTAGCATTTCAGCAGGTATTGTGTTCTTATGAAAAGGTTCAGTTTTATACTCTGTTCTCCCGCTTTCAAAAAAAAAGTTAATATGTTGGAGAAAAAAAAATTCAAAAGAAAATAATGAAAGAGATTTCAAAAATTTGAATTATTGTGTATTTTGTCTTATTTACATTTATCCTTATCAGTCAAGTGGCCGAGAGGGACGTACACATTGGTCAAACCTAAATCCGGATGTCCACCGGGCTGGTTGGAGGGATGGCGACACCAGGATAATGAGGACGACGATAACAAAAACTCCTTAGCAGATGGACATCACTTCTTCGGTAAGAAAAGGTTAATTTACAAGGAAATGGAATCATTGATGAAAAATCTAAGCATCGCAACATTTCATGTCTTTTATCATCTATATGTCAGTGTCTTATCTGCGTGTACACATCAAATAACGATCGAACAAAATTCGTTGGGGGGGGTTTTGCACTAGAGTATGATTTCTTTATGTTTGAAATTACAATTTCAGTCATATAATAAAAGCCATTAATATTTGATACACATTTGTAATGTAGATATTGATTACTAGAGTCAGTTGCTAATTACATATTCAATACAAAAATTACCCTTGCATTACAGATCTCGGCCCGGTTTCACAAAAGAACGACTAAGATTAAAAAAATATAATTTCACAAATAACTTTTTTACCTTATATGAAAATGGTTTTAATCTTTTAAAAAGGAATTAAGAAAAATATATTTATGCAGGCAATTTGTAATATGGTTATTGATTGTTCTAGATTTTACAATTTTTGGACTTAGTCGGAAGTTGTTTTGTAAGACGAGTCCCTGTATAATAGCTGACGATGTTTCATGCTTTCTTTACTATGTACACGTAAACGATACTAAAATCATGTTCATTCAAATTATACTATTTACTGAACCACTTAATTGATGTAGAAATTACTTTATATTAACTGAATCAAAAGAAAAATAAGAGATTAATGAATTTGCCATAGGTGACTTTGGCAGAAATATGAAGTTCTACTATTGCACCAAAGACCCTAATGACATAAATGACGAAGGGTTCTGGCCTGCTGGGAACTATTGCATTCTTAAGCATGGAGCCACTTGTCCACCGACAGGTAAGGCATTTTGGCCAATATTACAAATTCAAATAAAGCTGAACACGACTTGTATTATTTCCTATCTCCGATATCACCACTTCATATTTGTTACCACTGCTTGCTTTCTGGCTACCTGCAGCATACATTACCTTTGTTCACATTTTGTTGCATTTTACGTGTATATGTGTTTGTATACTGCAATGACCTGTACAACTATTGTTATATTTTTGGTAAATATTCCTCCTGTCGTGAAAGAAGCACACAGTTACTTTGTCTCTCCAGATATTTAACATGTACAAGGGTAATGTAGAGTACGTCCACCTGAAAAGCATATGATATTGAACCGTGACCAAGTGAACGGCATGTATAGGGGTTGTAGAAAGAGTGCAAATGAGAGAAATATGATAAACTAATTCCTTTTACGAATCAAGTTTAGCTTTTAATTTATTTAAAGAACATCACTTTCACAATATGTCATGATGTGTGAACAGCTTTTAATTGATTTGCACATCTACTTTCCATCTAATTTGTGAGTAATTCAAATCTTTTCATTAACCAACATTGTTTCCTTTTTGTATCTTAAACTGCATGCTAGGTTTTAAAAGTGGAAGCATACACTGGGATGACGAGGATTCTAGAAATAAAAACTCTCTTGGTGGAACACTACCCAGTGGCAGCTACAACAAAAATACCAGGATTGAATATTGCTGCAGGTACATATAATTAACTAAATAAAATTGTATCATCAGGTAAAAAAAAGTTTGCAACAAGAATGAAGGAAAAAAACTGCGATTTGCCTCCAAAGTAAAATAGGATTTATTTTTTAAAAAGCAACTATTCCAGGAAACATACTTAATGATGGTTATGGTAGCAAAAGCAAAAATTGTTTTTCATTACATACAAAATGAATGTATCTTACATGTAGGTATACTAGTTTAAACAGATCAGATTGGGGTGGATTATATAAACATCTCAATTAATTATTTATTTATTTGATTTTGATCCGCTTATTTTTTGACTGTTAAGTAAATTATTGAAATCCTGAATTAAAAATTGCCTTAAAATTGTGTACCTTCTTCCTCGGAACATATCATAAGATAAAACAATTGCCAGTATAATGTCATTTGGAACTACACTATTTTTCTTAAGATCTTATTGAAACTAACTGAAGATGTGTTTCTATGGATTATCAACGATAGACAGGCCAGTAAGAGAAACACAGCTTGCATATCACTTACTCATCTACATCGCCTAATTAATGTTTCGTATTATCCGTCCGACTATGATATGCATAAAGGTCATATTGCAAATTCCTTCATATGAGTAACATTGAATCCTCTCTGTCTCACAATAGTTAACATTCGAGCTAAGATTGCCTACAATTTTGATGCTTTTCAAATACAAAATTATGCAAATGTTATGGATGAGCAGATATGCATCAAATATGATTCTCATTTACCCCCTAAACTTTTTGCGGAGGTTAATTCAGCAAAGTTTGAGGTCGATCTTGTTGAAACACATTCATTGCTTTAAATATGCCTGTGGCAACACTGGTTCTTTACAGGTATGAGGCGTCTTTTTCATGATCAGTTGAAGTGTTCATTTACATCATCTACTGTGGTAGATTGATTGTACTTGTAAATTACTTTATACTACAGAAAAGACGGTTCCTACACCAATGAGATACTTCTGCCGACAGCACAACCATTCTATCTGTTGAGATTTACGTCGCAGTGTCAGTTAGTCAGGGGTATGTACGTCAGAGAAGAGAAGGTGCATTTTGATGACGAGGATAAAAACAACAAAAACTCGGTATCCGGAAGTTATCCCTTTGGAGCCGGCGGAAGAAACCATAACCTCTACTACTGCTACTATTTCCCATTATAAATGTAGTCAGATTTTGCAAATGTAAAACTTATATTGAATAAAATAGTTTTTAAGAGGGTTTTTTTTTCTATACACGACCTGCAATGTTCTTTCAATTTTTCATTTATAGTTCCTTCCATTCAGATGTCGACTTGATATATCCCACTGAACTCGAAATAAAAGCTGTCACAGAATCTGTAAAATATGTTTCATATTTGGATGTTTTACTAACTATAGATTATAAGGGCCAACTAACAACTAAACTGTATGACAAACCAGGTGACTTCAGTTTTTTCCATCGTTAACTGACCTTATTTATGTAGCAATAATCTCACATCACCTGCATATTGTGTTTACGTCTCCCAACTTTTTCGATACTCTAAAGCATGCTCTGAGTACGAACAATTTTTAAACCCAGACAGACTACTGGCAGATAAGTTGATGTTACAGGGATTTTAGTCAGCATTTCGTAAATTTTATGGTTATTATAATGACTCTGTTTGCAAATATAACCTATCATTCGGTCGTATTTAAGCTGACGTGTTTCTTTCCGAATTTTAGGCCTTTGTTTTCATACTGAATTTGACTACAGAATATTCCGTCTACCTGATCAATACATAGAGCTCAAGGCGGATATGACTGGTCCACAGTGGATGGTTCACAGATTTGAGTTTTTGAGTTGTTTGTAGATTTTTTTTTAGTCCGTCATCACTTCACAGTAAGAAATAAGACCTTTCAGTTAAAACTGAAAAGTGGCTTTCAGTGACTTTTCAATGGCTATTCAGTCGCTGAATGGCAGGTACATTTTAGAGATCTTTCGGCATTCTTTCAGCCACAATTCGGGCACATTTTAGTCACCATTCAGCCGACACATTTCAGTTATCTTTTAGTAACCTTTCCGTGCCCTTTTCGATGTCTAACTGTCGCCTTTCAGTGACCTTTCAGTTTTATTTCAGTCGTCATTTCAGAAATTTTCATCGGCGTTTTATTGGTGTATAAGTAACCATTTCTTTAAAATTTAATAAAATTATTTATATCTTTTCATGTCTTGAATACGTTGAAATGATAATGGGTAGATGTTCAATTATATTTAAATTGTTTAATAAAAATTTAAGCTGCGATTATAAACCATAAAATATATGTCTTAATATAATGAAAGATACATAAAATATTGGAAGAAATAAAAATTGTTTAAGAATTTGTCATTAGTTACACAAAAAAGATTAAGAAAATTAAAATAATTTTAAAAGATAAAACATTACAATCCAATATTCATGTCAGAATTTAATAAATTGTCAAAGAACTTGCTCTTTTTCTTTCTATAAAAAGCATAAATCCATGATAGATATTTTTACAAGCTTATTGAATATAGTTCATGTAACTGTTAAATGATAAAAAAAAATCATTGCTTTTAAACAAAAAACTCTATTTTTTCCAGATCTAATTATATTTTCTGCATAATTTTTTCGTCCATCTTATGCGATTAGTTTTCATGGAATTTCTCGGAGTGATAGAAGAGGCTGAATTATTTATGTCTCTTCTGAAAGTAATTTTATTTCTGAAAAATCAGATGATGTATTAGATTATAAAAAATCCTTTTAAAATCTTGTAATATAATTTTCTAGGAGTAGAATTTACAACATTCTCTCAAATGAAGAGTGAACTCCAATCATTTCTGTACAAAAAAAGGTGCCCATCGTCGATTATTAGTATAATCCCGATAAAAGGCGTGTAACAATTAGTCTGCTCCGAAAATCTGCCAAATTCACATAGAATATATAAAATATATACAGGATACATTGTATATACATATCGACAAGCTCCTCGATAACAGGTGACCTAAGAGTCCCAATTCTACACATTTATTAATATTAATCGGCAATTATATTAATAAATCTCCGTGGCGTAATGGATAAGGTTACAGGTTATCAAGTGGGGTGAACCGGATATTAGACCCCGGGATGTGTCAAAGATTTTTTTTTGATTCACTTTTATTCATTCTTTTTTAAATTTGAAAATAGATAAATTTGATACCATTATAATAGGAAAAAAGTATAATAAATTTGCTAAGTTAAAAAAATAAGCAGATTATTTAATTAAAAGATAACTTAAAGGCCATTGAAAAGTACCTGCCATTCAGTCGACTGAAGTAACTGAAAGAGCACTGAAAAGTCACTGACAGGCCCTCTCAGTGACTTATTAGTGACCATTCAGTGGGCATTCAGTTACCATTCCGCCGACTGAATGTTGTAATTTCATTCTGTGCTTTATCACAGACAACAGATAATTTCCGATAATTATGCAAAATACTATAGGTACTCTTAGTGTGTCTATGCAGGTGTATATTATATAACAAGTCAAATGCAAATGCAATAAAAATCAAACATCAAAAGATATGTGTGAGTAAAAAATTAATTTAACACATAAGAATGTTTCAATGATAAATATTAATTTTCTGTTATGATTTGCTTATTAAAGTGATATGTGCTATCAACAAATATACCACATAGTTGCATAACAAATCATTGATAAAAAAAGTATATAATTGCAATCGGCCTGTTATGCCTAATCGTCACCTTTGGATATGTCAATATATAATGTCATTAATCTATTATTACATAGGAAATTATTGTGGTTCTGTATGAAATGAATGATGTTTTTGAAAAATTGAAATAATGGGCACTCTTAGGAAAATGTTTATCAAAACACGCAGCAATTTTGACAACCGCATTTACTATAGATCACCAAATTTTCAGGACACGAAAGTTAAAACCGCTGAACGATTTGAAATATGCGGCGTATGTCATTTCCATCTGCTACAGTCAAAATAATGAAATGGGCGAGTATAATTTCACGCGGTCTTCTGAGAAAACATTGGTTTAAATTATCATTTCATAGTTGATTTTGAATCCATTAAGCTATTCAGCGCTGCATATTACCCATTATTCCGCAGTTTAAACTTTCTTGCGAAAATAATGTGTCGCAAAAATTTAGTAATCTAAGTAAATACGTTTGTTAGTGGTTAGTGTTGATAAACATTTCCTTCGAGTTCTCGTTATTTCAAATTTCAAAAATATCATGCCCCTCCATATAGAGCCATAATAATTTCTCTAGCAAGCCCTCGAGGAATAGTTCCTGTTGCGGTTTGACGAAAGACTTTTCCCACTCAGAGCCAGTGGATGTGTATAATATAATCTACAGTAATAAAAATAATGCCAGAATAATTTTTACCTAGAAGTCGATTGCGCGTTACTTCGCAAATAAAAAGCGATTTTCAAAATGTCTCATACAGTCATATCAATACTCTCCACTTCTTAATAAGCAAGAAATTAAGAGTCAGGGAGAAACTCTTTTTTCCTAGCTTGTTGAATGCCAGGACATTTTTAAAAACTCTTTCTGCAGAGGAAGGACGAAGTCTGAATGCATCTCTCCTAAATATAAGAAGTTATTCTATACAGATCGGGACATAGATTTCAAATTACAACAGGGACCAGCAGCTTCTCTACAAGACTCTAATTTACCTGATCATTCTATTTTATCAAAGTTAGAATTCTAGAGAAGATTTACCATCATACTAATAGCCCATCATTGAGTACACCTTTCCGTAGACAACAAGAAAAATACTGGAAACAAGGTATGGTAACAATGACAAGGTCGATAGTGTTGGGAATCTTTCAAGTCCTTAGTGTAGCAATGTGAATGTGATGGGTCTTTTTAACAATACACAGAGACGTAAGCGTAGTCATGGACATCGGTCTAACAATAAACCTATTATACACGATGTCTCCATTGATTCACTACTACCTTATGTAAATAAACAGTTAGGTCTTCATCACATTTGCACCAAACTTTACTCTGTCCCTTTGAAAGTTTTAATTAGTCTATTTGAATAGCTCAAGAAAAGTCTATATTTGGATTCTTCGACACCAAATATAGGATAATATCTGTGATTATGGATTTTGCACATCACAGGCTTTTTAAACCGCCACGTTTTACGGAAGAAAATACTGCTCAAACAACCCGTTTATTCCTTAAACTTCAATTTGCCAACAAAAGAATTGACGCAGTTAATGTAAGTAATATTCTTAATCACGAAAGGGTCCAGTCTTGTATTCCACCATATTTCAAGTTGAAGTTTACACCTTGTATTTCTTACAAATATACAGCGACTATTGCTTCCAAACTTTTTAATTACAAAACTAACTTTATAGTGCCTAGATATCGAACATATGAAACATAATCCTCCAACATGTTCATGTTCTTCTTCACCCTACAACTATAGTCCTGCTAGATGATTCATTACTAGTGACATAAATATAGTTAAGGACCTTAAATCACTTATTTTGAAGGGGCCAAAATTAAGGGAACCCCGATCATTCAACTGGTGTCATAATTTCATAAATATTATGAATTCTTTGGAAGATTCCCTAACAAAAAAATACAATAGTTAACTATAGTTTACTTTATTTACCTCTACTCTTATTACTCTATATAAAATTAATACCACAAAACTGTTTATTTCCCCGAGAAGATACTATTTCCCCCATCTGAGGACTACTCCCTGAAAAATCAGAGCTACTCCCTGGGACTACTCCTTCATGAATATTTATTATTAATTTTAACCAATTAAACTGAACAGCGGGCGGAGCGTTCAAGGAATCTCGAGTCCGTGACGGACGTAATGTTATTAGCAATGTACCTATGACGTCAAAACATTTTGACATGCGATGTCAAAATCATACTGGAATTTCTAAGCAAAAAGAGGACAACGATAATCCTTCGAAATGTTAGTGAAATTATTATTTTTTTTAATAATTATATTTTTTTCCGTATTGATGCATTACATATTTAACAAAATTGGAATCATGCGCATTTTTGATTATTTATATAAATGCCTCTATATTGTTTTAAAAATGTCTGAGTCTTAAGTTAATAAATCTCCTTTGTTTGTTTCGGTATAATAAAACAGTTATGGAATGGGTACTCGGGAAATAGCAAATTTATGGTTCCCCTCGGCAGGAAACTAGTTTCCTCCCTCGGGGAACCATAAATTTGCTATTTCCCTCATACCCATTC